AGGGGACTTGAGCAAAGGCATTCGCAGGTTAATGTAGGTGCAAAGCATCACAAAAGTAATGCTGGAGGCATGGTAAAATCTACAACTAATACATATCGGTTTGTGATGCTGTTTGCATTTGGTGAGCCTTGCGATTCGTAAATCCAGACAGTGAGAGCAGGCAATAAATCACCAGACAAGAAGAAACACCTCAGCCATACCACCGACGACAGTACAAATCATGAGATCTGGTGCAAGTGCGTGCTCGCGCCCTGAACTTCCCCAGCATTGTCAGTGGAGTGTCAATGGCATCGCCCCATGATCCGTCATCGTTGTAAACGCACTTCGAACCCAGCTCGTGTTTTGGGGTGGGGTCGGGGGGGGAGGCGGCATTTCAATACCTGCGTTCTTTCGTAGTTTGAGTTGTAGGGCACCTTCTTTTCATGCGGGGCTAAGAAGAACTTGCCAGTGCTAGGCTGGGCTCCTGATTCTATCTAGGGTTGGTGTCTCCGCGGCAACTCGCTTGGCCAGAGCTTCGAGGCGCTGCAGGATGTCCGTGCTCTCGGCCAGCGGAAACACGTAGCCAACCCGGCCAGCGCGAGGCGAGGGGCCCTCGGGGTCGGTCTCAAAGAAGAGAGTCGATGGATCTGACCAATCCAAACGCGGAGGACTGGCTGCCATCCTGGGGCTCTCTGCACATGGCTGCAGCTTCCGCGCAGCTGCATGCAGCTCTCTGAGGCCCCGGCCCCAGCTCAGATGCAAGGCTTTGGAGCAAAGAGGCATCTGCACCGCTTGCATGGAGCCGGACGTGCTGGAGGTCCTCGTGTCCGGTAGAGAAAGGCAACGCTACATGAAAGGAAGGGCGAGCGATCCTCGAGCTCCACGGTCAGCACCGGCACATGGCCTTCTGGCAGCCGCTGCATGGCGCGAACTAACGTCTCCCGCTGGCCGCAGCCACCTCTGCCGCTTCTGCAAAGTACGAAAAGCCCAAAGCGCCCCTCGCAGCAGCATGGAGCACTCGTGCTGCTGCAGCTGCTGCAGCTTAGGCGGCCATCCTGAAACTGGAAACTCAACATCTCTTATGCCACCGGGGGCGATGTGGGAAAGAGATGCTGTCCGAAAAACTTGGGATCGCGAATGGCGAACGATCAGTTGGGGGGCCGTTGCGGGGGTTCGACCGTTGACTTACGTAAACTTTCGCATGGCGCGAGCCTTGACGGCCCACCAAAGCTTTCGGAAGTCTTCGACACTGAGGTACGTGCCTCTGCTTCTCACCTGCTTGTTTCTCGATGTCCGACCCCTTGCTCTGCGAGCGCCTTTGGGGCTTCGAGATCTCTCTGCCCTGCGATGGGCATGGGCCCCGGTATAGGCCTGCCGGCGCGCCAGCACCTCTTGCCTCCCTTCCTGCTTAACGACCTGTAGTCGCCGTGCCAAGTCTTCCTTCTTTCCAGAGACCGGCAGCCTGGCATCGCGGCAAGCCTGGAGCGAGGTTGACTGCGCATCGCAAGAAAGCTGCAGAGAGCTGCCCTACCAGTACGGGCCTGGCGCAGCTGAACCATCCGCAGGGTGGCATAATCTGCTGCATTGGCTGCTGCAACAGGTGGTGATGTCATGGCGGCTTGAAGCGCAAAGCATGCTGCAGCATGAGTCTCAACATGTCCCGCCACAAGATTGTCCAAGAGATGGCAATGGAATAGCTGAACAGCATTCAAAGCCCTGGTTGCATGCAGAATATTGCAAATGCAACAGCATCACGACAATTACAGGTCCACAAACATGCAATCCCGGACGATGCACCTACCCGTCCATCCATCCATACGTCTACACATACAAGCCAAAGGCACACATAAACAAGCACGCCCCACTGTATAAACACACATGTATGGATGGATGCATGTGGTGTGTGTGTGTAACTGCACTTCATGTATGCATCGAGCCCAATATGCCGCCGCGCATCTGTGAGGCGTGGTTTAGTTGTGGGGGGGTGCCCTTCATGTGCAACACTAGGCTGGTGGCGGCCGGACTACCAGCCGGGGCTCGTTAAAGGGTAGCAGACAAAGTGCCAGAGCCGGTTTGGCATCCATAGCCGTCCGTCCTAACTTGTGTATGGGAGGATCCAGGAGGATTGTGCAAAGCGCGAGGCTGCGCCCATCTGTGCCGGGGGGCGACAATGCAGAAGCTTACTGGCTAGGTGACGACCCTTCTGATAACTTTGAAATTGACTCCCATGTCATATCTCTCCCATGTGCAGGTCACCTGGTGGCTGCCCCTCAACCGCCAGCCAGGCTGTGAAACAGACATAATCGGCCTAAGCAAAGGCGTGCAGCAGAGGCCAAACGAAAAGAGGTGACAGGAGCACTTCAACGGAGTAGACCCAGGCTCGGCCTTGGATCTGCAATTTGGACTCCAGCTGAAGTGGGATGCTTTGCATGACGAAGAAGAGGAGCATCATCAGCGTCTGCCACAAAGGAGCTCCCACACACCAAAAAGGCCAGGCATGCCCAAGCCCAGAGGCCAGGAAGACCAAAAACCCGCAGCATCCCTTGGAGTAGCCCATGTTTCGCAAGGGTACAAAGACGCCCTTTAAGAGCATCCTTTGCACCGGCAGATTCCACTGCCTCCAGAAGTCTTTGATGGTCCTGGATTGCCACAAGACAGGTCCGAAAATGGAGTGCACACTCAACTTGTTGAAGTAAGAGAGGAGAAACAAGTAGGCGCGATCAAAGGTGTAGAACCCAAACACGACGCTGCCAGCTCCGAATCCGCAAATCAACAGCTTCACGATGCCTAAGCCAATGCTGGCAAATGCAGAGTTGCTGGGCAGGATGTGCAAAGCGAGCGCACAGGCCTCGGGAATCGTGTTGGACTTGTTGTTCTGGACGAGTGTAAGTACTTGTTTCGGTTCTGCATCTGCTTTTGATTAGGACTAAGAACTGCGACGCTCTACTGCCTCTTCCAACCCGTTCAACGGAGTGGACAGCTTCATGGGCATGATGCGTGCAAGTGCACTAGTAGTTTGGCACCTGCCGAGACTGTAGGCAGTGGTTCACCGGTCTGGAGTGCTGCTGTGAGGGGTCATCCTTCCGCAATGTGGTGTGAGGCGGAGACGGTAAGTTTCAACCCGTTGCTCCTACCGCAACGCCATCTCGACTCCTGACGTGCTGGCAGCCTCTCGCGCTCTCTCTGTTTTCCTTAGCCAAGCAACTGCAAGCCCCAAGGCTGCGAGGAGTAGCTCCTTCAGCGTGCTCTGGTAGTGGCTTTGATGCTCCCTGGGAGTGTCGAGTGCCTTCACGCGGTCCATGTCGTGCCAACTGAGACATGCCATTTGATAGAAGCGGCGCCAGCGTCCCCAGGCAGGCGTCCCAGGAGGAGAACGCTGCTCGCAGGCTGCCTTCGCCTCGTCTTCGGCTTCCAGGCGGCCCAAAAGCTGCAGCGCCCGTACTGAGCAGAGGATCGCCGCTGCGGATTCCGAGATTCCAACGATTCGCCCAGGCCCACGCCGCGTCGCCTCCACACAGATGGGGGCCAAAAGGAGCCCCAAACAGCCCAGCGCCGTCTCCAATCGTCGTCTGCCTTTCGGCCCTTTTCCTGGGACCAGGACGCACCAGTTCAGCCAGAGAAGCACTGCTGGCCAAAGCAGACTTGCGCACAGAAACTCCCAGAAGGAATGGGATGCCAAGGCCGCAGCCACAAAGAGCCCAAGGAAGCTGGAAGAAAACACGATGAGGCCAAGAGTCATTGCGGTTGGGGATTCATATCGCTCTGCAATGGGATCCGCTGGCTCCGTCTCCATAGCGATCCCCTCAGTCCCACCCCTAAGAGCCCGAAGCTGCACAAAGCCATTACCTCCTGCCAGTAACGGTGAAGGCACAGCACACCACCAGCACATCGAGGCATTGTTGCGGTGCCCGAGACTGGTCTGAGCTCCGGAAGACTTCGTCTTGCGGCTCGGAGTGCCACTCTTACACAGTGTGACAACCATATACAACCATCAATCACGTGCAGTGCCGAGGGTGAGACCGCTAGCCATAGGTTCGCGGCCTTGACAGGGCAAGAGCTGCAAATGGGCCCGCTGGGGCCGCCAGGAGACTTGGGCGGCAGCGACATCAAAATCTCCGGCCCCAGGATGGCAACTGCCAGGGCCAGAAGCAGCCTCAGAAAAAACGCTCAGTCTGGTCTCGAAACGATGGACCGTTGCCTGCGTTGGAGGAACCCCGTCAGCACGACGGTCTGCGAAAGACAGAAACAATAGCGGAAGGTGCCCACCTCTCAGGCAACACCATCAAGTACAAGCGAGATGAGAAGATGGAAGTGATGGAAGGCCTGGAAGCAGGGTAGTGGACCAAACCACAGAGCGAAGTCCACACGCTCGCGGGGCTCGGGGGCCCAAAGCAGCCGAATCTGAGAGAAACACAGCCATGGTCACGAACAACGCCTCATAGCAGAATTCTCGTCCCGAGTCCCGAGCCCCGCCACCTGACTTCACTGACATTGGTGAATGGGTTTCGGTCCAAGTCCTGGCAGTACCTTGCGACCCGTTTCCAGCCTTCGCTTTGTGGAGCAGCTGATCTTGCCTTGGGTTTCCCAGACAAACTGAACTGAACCCTGAACTTAATCCGAATGGGCGGGAAACGGGAAGGCCCAAATCACGAACTGGAAACGGGATTTTTGCAGATGCGTGCGCCGGGGGCAGTAGATTCGCATGGTCACGCGCACACTGAAATCGCCTACGGTGTGGCCGGGACCTGATCCTGACATTGTCCCTTTGCTGTTTCGGATCTCGGAGATAGGTTTGCGTGCCGGCGCCGCGAGCATCATGAGCATCATTGGCGCCCGGCCGGACCCGGGAGGCCAGCATCACGAGCATCACCGGCGGCTCTTTTCTCCGTTCCAAGGCAAGCCGAAACACTCCCTTCTCGTGCCCGAAAAGGAGGGGTCCGCCTCATCGGGAAAAGCAGCTCCAGGTGCAGTCTAGCTCGGGAAACCGGCGAGCCCTTTCCCCACACCCCTTGTTGCAACCT